TCATTTAAGTGAGCTAAAGAGATTGGGGAAGTTTTCTGTTGTAAAGCAAATGAGTCCTTCAACCATGAGGTATCTCATGTCCTCTGGAGAAGTAAAAATGGGGCCTCTGCAAAGCACCTGCCACTCTCCCCCAAACAGGAGAAACTAAATCAAATCAAACCACTAGAGAGACATACTGAAAATCCATTGATTTTTATGTCTCAAATCAGTCGTCAGTCTGAACAGCTGAAACAGAACTGAATGATGACTAGGCCACTTGGAAGGTGTGACTCTTTTAAAAGTATGCCACCACTTTTTGGGCTTTTTTTTTGGTGGGGGGAGGATGGAGGGAGGCAAGGTCTTACTATGTAACCTTAGCTCACCTAGAACTCACTGTATGAACCACTGCTGTAGAAAGAAACAAATAAAGAAATGTAATCTATCTTAAAGGAACGAAAGACAAGGCTTATTCTGGGATATATATAGATGACTATGCCCCAGCAATGTGGATTTAGTTTACTCCACCGTGGCCTGGTGTTTTACCCATTGATATCCTGAGAGGGTAATGTGATAGGAGTGTTGGAGCCATGGGTCAGCTGCCCAGGTTTCTGGGTTCTTCCCAGAGGGACAAAGACCCAAACTATAGACAAAGAAAGAAAAAATACAGAAGGAGTAAGAATGGGCAGAAAACACCCTCCAACAGAAGGTATTGTTTGCCTGAAATATCCAGAAACACGAGGGGCTATCCAGTGGGTGGCTTTGGTTTGGTAGATGGCCCAGGTTAATGGATGTTGACTAAGCACTTTCCAGATGTTATGTGAGATTGTCTCCCTCCCAGGTAGGAATGTTGTTTCCTCCTAGGGCTATCCTCTTTGCTTACTCCCTTTCTGACTCCTCACAGAAACCAGTCACAGCCTAGAGGCAGGGGAAAGAGCTTAGGTAGACCCGCCATCAGGGAGCTGGCACATCCCTATGGCTGTCTATAATTACATTCCTCCTGTATGCTGGGGAAGGCACATGGCTGTCCATAGGTTATGTGATTAGTTGCTTGTTTTGTTGTAGAGACAAAATATCCAGCAAACAACTGTAATGTGTCTCAGAGTCCCAGTACATACAGCCCATCATGGCAGGCCAGGCAAGGCAGCAGTGGCATCAGGTGACCGCTGGTCACATTTTTGTCCACATTCAAGAAGCAGATGAATACCTGCACTTAGCCACTTTCCTATTATTATTTTTTAATTATGAAAAGTTACTACATTTATTTATTTGTGTGCATGTATTAGTGTTCTCTGGAGGAACAGAACAGAATAAATCTATATTAAAAGGGTTTTTATTGGAGTGGCTTATAGACAGTTGTTCAGGTAGTCCAGCTATGGTTGTCTCTAACAGAAAGGCCCGAATCCAGTAGTTATTCAGTCCACGAGGCTAAATGTCTCAGCTGGTCTTCAGGTTATGAGTTCTGAAGAAATAGGTCCAAATGCCAGCAGTAGAATGTCTCTGCAGCAGGACTGATGAACTTGCCATCCAAAGTGAGTGCAAGCAGGCAAAAAGCAAGATTCCCTTTTGCATATTTTTTTAATGTATTCCACCACTCAATGGTGTGGCCCAGATTTAGGGTGTGTCTTCAGACATTTAAAAATAAATCCAGTTCTCAAAAGATCCAGTCAAGAAAATTCTTCCTAAGTTCTTCCACATAGACTGAGGTTGTAGTTGATTCCATGGCCAAGTTGACAACCGAGGTCAGCCATCGCAATGTGTACATGTGTTTGGGTATGTACATGCCATGGCTCCCTTGTGGAGGTCAGGACGATTTGTAGGAGTTAGTTCTTCTGCCATGTGGACTCTGGGCCAGAACTCAGTTCATCAGGCCCCTTTACCCACTTCACCGTCTTGCTGGTCACTCTTTTTTCCCTTTTAGTTCAGTCTGGAAACTCATCCATGGAATGGTCTACATTCAGGGTCTCCTCCCTCAATCAACCCACTTTAGATAACCTCAGATGTGCCCAGAGATTGTGTCCATGGTGATTCTAAAATCCCATCGTGTTGACAAGATTAATCTCACACTTTGGAAGGGTTGCAAGTCCTCATATGGGACTTGGTTTTGGCTCTAGTCAGGGGCTGGAGGAAGCCAACTGATGCACTTGGGAGACCTTGAGTTCTCTTTACCCTCATCTTACTGGTCCTGCATTGGTGAAGCACCCCCCACACACACACAGCTTCATACATGAGTTCTTCACCGTCCTTGAACAGCTCGGGGCTCAGGCCAAGAAAGAAGACACACTAGGGGGTAATCAGGGCATCTGCTGTCTTCTCAGGGGTTTCTCTGCTTTAAGCCCCGGCTCTACCCCTGCCAAGCCTCTATACCTCCATTTCCTTCTGGGGTAAATCCTTGTGTCTCTCTATGTCCTGTCCTGACCTCAGTCGTCTCAGAGTCCATCTGCTGCTCCCCCACCCCCAGGTCACTGTACTTAGCGTGTGGTTAAAGCCTCTGTCTGAGGGCCCATTGTCTCCATCTTAGCCCAGACACAAGGCAACACCCCCTCCCCATCTTGGCCCATAGATCTTTGTGTTTCTCCTCCTCCTTCCAGGGCAGTTATAATACCCCTCCTGGGCACAACCTCTCTCTAGAGTGCCTGCTCCCTTCCTCTCTGATAGGACTGAATATGGAGTTCCCACCTCTGTGGGCCTGTCTTTACCAATCCCAGATCCCCTCTAGCCCATCTGTGGAGATAGGGGCCACTGTTCCCCGGCTCCTCGGAGCTCTTCTCCTGGCTCCCATGCACCCTGAATCTCTTTCTTTGTGTGTATTTGTGTGGATGCAGGTGCATGTGTGTGCATGTGTGTGGAGGCCAGAGTGCCCACTTCAGCTGTTGCTCCTAAGGTGCTGCCTACCTTGGTTTTTCAAAGACAGGATCTCTCACTGGCCAAGAACTCATCAAATAGGCTAGATTGGCTGGCCACAACCCCCCCCAGGGATCAGCATGTTTCTGCTTCCCCCGTATTAGGATTCCAACCTCATATACCACCACACTTGGCAGTTTTTAAAAATGGGTTTTGGCCTCATGCTTGCAAGGTAAGAACTTAACGGACAGAGCATTCTCCCCAGCCACTCCTCCTTACCAGGCCTGCTCTATTTAGCCAGGACTTCTGCTCCTTCCCTTCTCATGGAGGGCTCTCTGCTCACACAGACATCCTCAGGGACCCATGTGACCCTAAGGTTGAACTTGCACCTGAGTCAAACTTCCAACATCTGTGGTAGAGTTCTAAGTTCATCCCCTGCTCCCTCCTGCTTCCCAACACAAGCCACATCCCCACACCCATTTGTCCCACTCTTATCCCCCACTGCTGTCCAGGAAAGCCGCCCCCTACCCCTTCCGTGCATGAACACTTGCACCGCATGTGCCACACTAGCACCTGTCATGCCTAGCAAGGCCCATACCCACGTTCATATCTCCAGCAAATTCTAACAGTTGCAAAAGACACAGTGCCTGACCTCTTTGCTTCCTGGCTCAATCAAGGCAACACACAATAGAACGCTGTAGTGTCTACTGTGCCCCCATGGCGGGGGGTGGGCTGGTCTTGTTCGGAAGTTCTGCATCTCTAGTGGGGCTAAGCAATGTCCACCGAGTAGCAGCTGAACAAATGATCCTAGGTCCATAGGCAGATCCCTGCATGCCCACAATCATACAACAGTCATACAATGTCCCTGTGTGAGTGTGTGTGGTGTGTGAGCAGTGTGGACAGGTGAATGCATACAGAGTCCAGAGGAAGATGTTGAGTGTCCTACTGAATCATTCTCCACTATACTCCTTTGATATGGGATCTCTCATGAATCCCAGAGCTAAACAGGCAGCCAGTGAGCCGCACTGGGGGTTCAGGCTTATAGGACTAACCAAATCTGCTTTTCTTTTACATGGTGGGGACTTGAACCCCAGTCCTCATGCTTGTGCCATGAACTATCTTCCCAGCTCCTGCCTTTGATTTTTCATTTCCTTTGGTTCCCCGGAGACCTCTGTGCTTGATTAAACCACTCAGCAGGCAATTCCTGCTCAGCCTTGCATACCTATTCCTGTGTCGACAATTGTGGAAACATTTCCCCTGACACTGGCAGAGGAACTGCAGAATATTTCACACTTTGTGTATAACCAACCCTCAAACTACAACTTGACAGAAAGGGCCAAGGCAAGTGCAAAAAAGTAATAGTAACAACACCTGTGGATCCTGCTGTTTGACGATATCAGCTGCACGAGAACAGGTTTTTCTCAGCAAGCGATGAGAAAATGATTTCCTAAGTACTTTTATGTCATCCGATTATTTTAGGGAGGGTAATCTTCCTTGATTTATCAGTGGTGTTTCGCTATAGACAGGAGTCTATACCATATACTACTTGGCTGGCTCAGTAGGTGGAGTGTCTAGTTAGAATTCACGAAGTCCTGGGTTCCATCCTCAGCATTCTATCAACTGAGCTGTTTCGTAATCCCAGCAATGGGAGGCAGTGGCAGGAGGAGCAGGAGCTCTGGTCATTCTTGGCAACATTAAAGGGAGTTTGAGGTCAGCACAGATTACCAGAGACCTTGTCAAAAACAAACAAACAGTGCGGTGTGGTCCGTTTCGTTTCTCAGAAAAGCGCTGGTGTTGGGTCTTAAGGGCAGATTAAGCTCACCATGCAAGGAAGGATACCCTGAACCTTGCCCTCTCGGATAGGGGACTGCACAGACTAGTGGAGTCCCTCAGTGCTCAGAGAGGCAGTTGGTGCCCAGAAATGTCTTGGAGGCATAAATCCAACTGTTTTTTCCTGCCTGGGGCAGCGGTGGGAACTCCAAGGAAGTGCGCACTCACACACACGCGCGCTCTCTTTCTCGGTTTTGCTTCCCTACCACATCCCTTAAAAGTGTCTTAGGGGAGGGTGGATGAGGTGGGAGGGAGGGTGCATGGGGGTGGGGTGGGGTGCGAACTTGTGCATGTTTATTATAAGTTCATTCCCTTTAAAAGGAAAAGTATGCCCGGAATCCGGGAGGTGGCAACGGAGTCTGGCTTGGAGAGGACGTGACCGACCTACTCAAGTTGGGTGTCTCTAGTGTCAGTCTCTAATGTTTCCAGGGTTGACGCTAGCACCAGCATCCCCTGTGCCCCTTGAGACAGTTCCCTGCACCCCTCATCCCGGCTGCCGGCTGGGCGGAGCGCCCTCGTCCTCTCACTTTGGGTGTGTTCCTCCCTCAGCAGACCGTGACTCCTCTGTCAGGGACACAGCCAGTGCATTGCCATCGGACTGGTGCTAGGCTGCTAGGCGCGTGGCCACCATGACAGGAAGGTAACAGATGCTTTAGGTTACGGGTGGAGGGTGACACGGGCCGGGACGGATGCGGGACTGCAGATCGTGGCGGGAAGGCCTGCAATCGGCTGCTCCCTGGCTGCAAACCCCCCTGGGACTGAGAGGACCCGACAAGGGGGTCTCACTCTTTTCCTTGCGGGTGGACGGGCGGGCGGGCATGTGTGAGCAATGGCAGGTAAGTTCTACCGCCCGTGATCCTCTCCGGGTGATCCAGATCAGGGACTTGTCCAAGGTCACCGGCCAACTATAGACGAAAGCATTAAAACGTGGCTGACAGCCATGGACTTTCCTGGCAACCCTCTGTGTGATCCTGGGTGATAGTCACTCTAGAGTCTTCCATTGCTTCCTCTGTGAAACGGGGGCGGGGGAGGGGTAAAGGGTGCTTAGGGTCCTGTGGGGACTGTCTCTAAACCCCAAGTGTAGCGGCTTGGTGAGGGGCAGGGAATATTCCTCAAGTCTGCCCTGGGCGAGGCTCTCAGGTCTCTTCCCACCATTTCAAGGACGAGATAATTCAGCTTCCAGAGGTTCGGGAGGTGGGTCACATGTCCACAAGAGTCCAGGCAGTGTTGGCTTCTGTAGTTACTTCTGGGTACACGTGTGCTGTTCAAAGCTGGGTGCTGAGCCTCCAAGGGACCCCCTTATAGCCAAGAGCACGCAGGAGTGCTTTTTCTACACTATGCCTTGCTACACCGGAGCTCCTGGGGGAGCTCTGTCGCTTTTGTAACCTTTGGTAAAGGGTCCTGAGGCCAGGGCAACACCCAGGAATGTGGGCTAGTGGCCTGAAGATCCCTTGAGGGACAGGACGGTTGTCTGCCTCAGGAACACACTGCTGCTGACCGCTGAAGCTGTGGCTGGGAGTCGTGGGTTAGCCTTGGATTTGGAACACTATGTAGCCTGTCATGGAGTGAGACCCGCCCTGCACTCTCGCCATCCCCCCACTCCCCACCCACCCAGCTCTGGGTACTGCCCCAGCGTGAAAACTGCTGCTTTAGGCAGTGCACTGCAAGGACCTGTCCCACCCGGGAGGGTGGTGGTCGCTGTGGTGGCTTCTGTGTGAGTCTCAGCTTGCCTCCCACCCCTCCCCAGTTCCTGGCAGAAATCCTTACCAATTTCTTGGCTGTCCATCCTCAGCCCTCAGCTTTGAAAGAAAAGTAGCCAGGCACCCAACTATTATCTTAAGCTAGAGTAGAGACATGTGACACTGTTAATCCTGGGTCTCTCAGCCCTCTCTGGATTGGTCAGTCATGGGCAGCCAGCAAGGAAAATTCAGGAAGGTTTTTGGTGGTGGGAGCAGAGATCGGATATCTGCTGGCCATGGGGTCACAGGGGACAATGTGCTCCTTTCTGCTCTGGGTACTACTGCTCATCCTAGAGAACAGAAAAACCCCTAGACACGGGACGTCAGCAGCACAGGAGATTTCTGCAGTGCCCTCCTCAGTGACACCCTCTTTGGACATTTTGGTGACTCTCTTCAGGTCTTGCCTTCAAGCATTTCCCTGTTCATGTGTGTTAAGTAGCTGTGAGATGACACTGTGTCCACCACAGGTTCCAGGCTTGGCTTCCCTCCCTTGTACACACAGGGAGCCCAGCCAGGCTTGTCTGGGAGGAGCAGACATCTGACTCAGACTTTGGAGTGGGTGAGTCTCTTCTTGTCCTAGGAGCTGTGGGGGTTCTTCATCCCCGTGCCATGAGCTCTGTGTCCATTGCCTCAGTGAGGTGGGTCCCGGGTCCCCTGCCAGTCCTTCATGCTGCTTGGAGCCAGGCTGCAAGGATACACCTTCTCTGCTCACACCCCTCAGGGCCCTTCTTCCCCCTAGGCAATGGTAGGGAAGAGCAGAAGGAGGGCTTCAGGAAGCCACCGAAGAAGAGCTGGCATAGCATCCTTTGTAAATGCATCCTTTAGTGCTGTGCAGAGAGAGGGCTGGAAGGAGCTAGGGAACACATCTGGGATGTTAGCAGCCAGGGATGCTGAGGGGATGGAGTTGGGAGGCAGGGCCTCCTGGAGGTGGAGTGGACAGGACGTTGTCAGAGCTGTTAGAGCCAGGGCGTAGGCTCTGTCAGCCACCACTTCACTGGGCCAATTAATAGACAGGAATAATGGAAAACAGAGCAAGGAAAGTTTTTCCATGCAGTCACGTTGGGAAGAGAAGTGGGGCCCCATGACTGCCTAAATTGTCTCCCTCTCCAATCCATCTTCAGGGTCCTGACAGGAAGTTCAGGTTTAAAAGAAGGCAAGAGGAATATAGCAGGTCCTGGTCAGGGTGTGGCGCTATCCATCACTGACCTGTCAAGGTCTCATCTCCAGGCTCTCCTAAAGATAGCCTGAGAGTTGTCAGAATCATGTGGAATCTCTTCTTGGGAACAAGCCCCTCTTCTGGCTGTTCCCAGGCTTCATCATCTTTCTTCCCCATGATGAGAATCCCAGGGCAATTCTGATTTCTTGGGGGATTATTTTTTCAATAGTCAGAGAGCCAAGCCAGGTGTGGTGGCATATACTTTTAATCCCGGAACTCGGGAGGCAGAGGCAGGGGCATCTCTGTGAGTTCAAGGCCAGCCTGGTGTACAGAGTGAGTTCTAGGACTGTTACATAGAAAAATCCTGTCTCAAAAAACTAAAATCAAAACAAAAATTGTCTGATAGCCAAAGGGAGAGACACAAAAATCTCCTGAGAACATCTTCCTTGCAGTTACAGGAACAGGTCACTAATAGCTTGTTGTGGGGTGCAGAGCAGGGAGTATTTGGTGAAGACTTTGTTTTCAACAGATGTGAGAGGGAGAAAGGGAGTTCTAGGTGTGGGCCAGTCTTAGGGGAGAACTCAAGAGAGGTGGGGCTGGAGAGGACGGGAGCTACGTGTATTATGGAGAAAGGGAGGGTGCCATATTAAAGAAGGACCCAGCCAGTGGGCAGTGTAATGACCTTGGAACTTCAAAGCCAGGTTCTGTGACAGTCACAGCTGTACTCTCCTGTTAAAATCTCTAAGCAAGCTCTCCAGAGAATCTCAGGACCAAGTAAGTGGCTTCTCTGGCTAAAACAATCACTTCTAAAGTGTGATGTATGTTCTTCAAAGAACTAGAAGTAGTATCAATGCATTTATGTAAAGTCCTAAACTTCTGCCTGTACCATTCTTTCAGATGCATTTAGAGAGCTGCAAGACATTCCCGGATTAGCATTACATAAACAAACCTTTTATAGAGTGTAGGCAGGATCTCTCAAGGCCTGCCATCATCCACTCCAAGCATGTATCAATTAGTCTTGGATAGCTAAAGGAATGCTTAAAAAGAAGCAGTAAGCGCCCCCCCCCCAAGCCCAAATTCTACTCCCTATCAATTGTTTCTTTAAAAGAACGATGTTGGGAACAAACTTGATGTAATCAAACACTCAACAAGAAGCAACCTGAGGAAGAGGGCATTTACTGTGGCTCACAGTTTGAGAAGACACAGTCAGTCCATCGTGACTTGGGAAGACATGGCAGTAGGAATGTGAGGCAGCTGGACCAGCTGCATGTGCATTTGGGAAGCACAGCAGGATGTCTGCTGGTACTCAGCTAACCTTCTCCCTCCAATGCAGCTCAGGGCCCCAGAGGCCAGTTTGGCAATTCTAGATGTGATTAGTGCAACCATCAATAGTAACGGTTACAGTTGTGTGTGGGAGACCCTACTCCTTGTAACCCTCCATAATCCACAACCACTCCCCACGAACCCTCTCACAGCTTCATCTTAGTGTGCTGCTGTCGCCATGGAGTCACTGTGTGACTCCTCACCCCAGCTCGCCTCACCCCTTTGCACTGTCTTGCCCAGCTCAGGTCCAAACTTTCATTTCTTGTTTAAAAGGCTTCCCCAATTCATTCAGTTCAAACACAGAGTATTCCCTCATTACTGCAATTTCCCGTACTAGTCCTTTATTAATGTCCCTATCTGCATGCTGAATCATGGATTCTCCATTCTCTCTTAAAGATCAAACAAGGATATCTTTTACAGTTTCTATCATGTTCTCTTCCTCCTCACTCTCTATTCTCTATTAAGTTTTTGGATTCTTGGAAGAGTCTTTAGCATAGATATAATTGACATTCTTCTTGCCCTGAGTTCTGCAAGCTGTAAAAAGGATTAGCCAGCACCCTAATCTCACCACCCCACATCCATTATTCCAACAGAGACAATCGCAGGGGACAGTGTCTGCTTGTCTCTTCCCTACTGTGGCTCCTCCCTTACAGGGGGCAAGTTTTTTTGTTTTGTTTTATTTTGTTTTTCTTGGAAGATCACATGACTCAGTCACATGCTTTATCATCAACAAAAGACCATGTAGCAATTACCACAGTTTGTCCCACACTTAACTTCTGTAGATCAAAGTATATTTTCGGGGGGGGGGGCATTTCCATACTTGCATGATAGACTCCATTTATCAAAGAGGCATAACACCCCATATCATACAGAGGAAGACAGTTTCTTTGGGATTCCCCCCAAGGATGTTCTGCTTTCAGATGGCATGGCTTTGTTTGTGTGTTTTATTGCCCATCACAGGGAGCATGCAACTGCCATTACAGGAAAGAGGAAGACCATCCTAAGGTAGGCATAGAGGGGTTGCTCTGCAGATGCTCCCTCCATCTTTTGTCTTCAGTTGCATTCACCCTGATCTTACCAGGACCACTCATACACATATGCACACACACAAATGAAATAAACAAATATTATTCAATATGTAGTTGAAGGTAACAACCTTGAACTTCTGGTCCTCCTCTTTCTACTTCTGGAGTGCTGAGATTACAGGTGTGTGCCACCACACTCACATGTCTTTAAAATGGTACATTGTCGAGACAGTCCTGGGTTCTAGCATTTAAGATTTCTGAATGGGAGGGGCTGAAATACTTTGGAGGTATGAACTTAATGTTGCCTACCAAAACTCTCTGCCTAAGCATTTGTATGCCTGCAGCCATCTACGTCAGAAAGTGGGTATGTGGGCATCTGGGAGCCTTTTGTCTCCTC